AGTGCAACCTAATGAGGATGCAGGTTTTTTTTTTTTCCATCTATTATCAAAACAAAACAGCATGCAGAGAAACTCAAGCCACTAACAGTTTTCAACATCATGTGACAAAATTCTCAGTCAAAGCTGAGTAAACCTTTTCTACAGAGACATGCTGACTGGTCATAACAGGAAAACACAGGTGTAAATAATGATGTTTCCAAGTGTGAAACACAGCCCAGTACTAACACTCTGCAACTGACAAAATCAAAGTGGAATTCACCCATTGCATAACCATTAGCTCCAGGTGCAGTTTTCCTGCTATGACGTAGCAAAAGGTTTGCCTGAAAACACTCAATTAGTTTAAATCCATCACGATCAGAGCCATTAAACCAGAGGATTGCAGTGTTAATGAACATCTTTCTGACAAGGTGTCTACTGAAGCTAGTGCTGGTCTCTTCTGCCATCTAGTGGATAAAAATATATTGATTATTGTACCAAAGTATCACAGACAAATCAAGGAATTCAGAATAGATTTTTTTTAATTATTTTTACAAATAACTTATCTGTTACAAAGACAGTTTTCCCAGCTAAAATCAAAAAAACACTTTAGATATCCAAATTATTTTTTTTCCATTTAATAAAACATGAATAAACTGCCTCTTCACACCAAGGTGCAGGTAAAAGCTGAAAACTGGTTTCTTTGGGTTGGAAAAAGGAAAGAAGTATGGCGTAAGTGCTTAAGAGACAATAATTCATCTTCTACTTTTAAATGGATTTAAACAATACTACAATTTTGGTTTGAAAAATTGGCATTCGGATGTGACAGGATAGATTATTGATACAAATTCAATAGTTCTAAAAAAGGCACTGATGATGCAAGGCAACATTTCACAAATGTGGAAAAAAACAAAACAAAGTAACTACTCCACAGTTAAGGTAAGTTAATGACAATAAGTAAACTTTAGAAACACCCTCATCAATAAAAGCTTAGGAGGATGAAATGAGCCAAATAAAAAATAAGAGTATACAAAGTGGACAGTCATGTTGTGCTTACATTTTGCTAAAAACAAGTTGTTTTTTTGCCTTGTCTGCTTCCAAGATGTGACAGTAGTGACCTGCTGTATATAAAGGCATGGGACCCATATGAATATTTCTACATCACAGGAACACTTTCAACAGAAACATATTCACTTTGATCTTTGGTACCTCACAAAAAAAAAAAAAAAACAACCAATTCAGGTGCACAGCGACATGGAAACGTTTAAGCCAATCAGCTGTTCCAGGAGCACTTTGACATCCATCTGTAGCAACATCCTGATTGTACTGGAAAATGAGCGTCTCTTTGCACTGAGGTGTAGTTGTCCCCAAACGTTAAACCTACATTCCAGTTGTCAGATAAGATGGCAGTTTGTAATTTTTGCTTTTTTGACCCCTTCCCTCCCCCGAACAGTTCTGACATATTTGGTGTCCTGGAAATAAGAAGAAGGAGAAAAAAAAAAAAAAAAAGACTCCTCCATCGCCTTCCACATTGCTGCATCTATAGATCGTACACAGGAAACTCAGCAATTACACAAGCGATGAACGGACCGGGCAGATGTAGCTTCATGATGACTGCAAGGGTTTTTTACTGCTCTGCTCCTCTCCTTCTGCAAGGCTTCAACTCTCACAGAAATCAAGTAAAAAGCTTTTTAAAAAAAAGGGGAGCATGGTGCTTATTTGTTTGAAAGAGGGAAACAAAACAAGACAAAAAAAGTTAATAAAGTCTATAAAGCTATACTTACAGGAAATACACGTGATTCATAGTGTGAGGAAGAAGGCTTTTAAGGCACATTCTAAAATTATGTACAGTAAAAAGCTCAAGGGGAGTTTCCGCCTCCGTGTACTGTACACAAAGCATGCAACGTAGTTTCTTTTTTTTTCATAACTCATGACTGAAGAGACAGAAAAGTGGATACTGAAGGGGGAGGACAAGAGGCACATTTGAGTTCCCCCTCTGACATCCTCTAGAAACAGCAAACAAACTCTGTGATTAGTCTGTTAGTTTTCCCTTCAGATGGAGAGCAGGGGCTGAACACAGTTCCCAATCCCCCCGGTCATGCCACCACAGAGGAAGAAAAAAATAAAATTCAATCAGCAAAAAGGCACATTGGCACCTATGTTGTTTGTGTGTGTGTGTGT